AAGGCTTTTACTAGGTGTCAACTGCATATTGGCATCGAGAACTGTGAAAAATCGTTTTAAAAAGCGCATTTATTTYCACGAAGCGATTTTGGCGAAAACATCAAATACTTCAATCGTATAATGAAATTTCCCAGAAGTAGCAATATTATTATTTTCTCATGATTTATTTAATACACAAGAATGTCTCTTTATTTACAAATCACCTGCTGCAGTTTTCTTTTTACTTATTATTTTAAAAATTATATAGAATTGCACGTGGCACACGCAAAGTGGACATATTTTCTCAGATTATTCGTCAGCCGTGACTCCAGACGATATATAGTTCGGTAGTCATATCTACTTTTAAGGAATTATTTATTTGTGATCATTCAGTATAATAACAAGCATATTGTATTATTTTTCTGAGAAATTACATTTCGATTTCTGACGGGGACGGTAGACTAATGTGGAACACAACTGATGCAATGTAATTTTAATTGTTTTCAGATTAAGTTTCTCTCAAATAAAATAAATGTATTATTCTGTATATTATAAAGGATGAAATAATAATAATAATTTTAAATATAATTCTTGTTGATACAACTCTGATGAAATCCTCTACAAAAGACAATCTAGAAACTGCTGATTAATTAATAGTTCATAATGCTTCCATCCTATTATATTATTTCTTTCTATATTTCATAGACTTTCAAGGACGATGGTCATTAAGAAAACCGGCTAACATTATCATAATACCACTTTGGAACTGTGCCCGAACGCCCTAAACAAAATGGTGGTATTAATATTTTTATAAATGGCAGGCAATTTTACAATCTAAATATCATCGTGTATAATAATATTATCAGTATAAGTATTATCACTATAAGTACGAATAAATAAATCGTCTATTAAAATTGTAATTTTTCCAATTAAAACAAATTAACATTATACGATTTTTATTTCATGAATTGAGGTCTTAARTTGCTATTTTAATAGTACTAYTGTACTTATATAATAAATAATATAGGTACTCTTTATGTCTTTATGAATATTAGTTATTGCATTACAAATTTACAATATATACTACCTATCATAATATATTTTGATTTATTTTAAATTTAGCTTTTTTTATTTCATAATTATTAAGCAAAACCTTGGTCATGTGAATTCGCTACTAATATCGATAAATTGTTATTCCAATGCGCAATAACTATTTGTGACTAGGGTAACCCATTATTATAACGTTTCTCTACAAATTTATCAATAACCATATATGTAAATTGTAGGTAAATTTACATAAAATACATGTTAGAAATTATTTAATATGAATATAACATAATTTTTAATGACTTAAGTATTTGAATTATTTTAAATTGTATGATTTTTAATAAACTTAGGAAACATTGCATCTCAGTGACTCGAATATTAAATTTCAAATATACAAAATAATATGAAAATATCTGTTTAAAATTAAAATTGTTTGCATGTTATAATAACTATAATATTACTATGCTTTATATTTTTATAACATATACTAATTAGTTTTGAGATGAAATTTGAAATTAAACTCTAATTGCGTGCGCCAGTAATAAGCGTTTAAAATAATATTCTAATTAGGTGACTAATAAGAATAAAGTAGGATATACAGTAGGTATTTATTCATTTTTCTGAGTACCTAATACCTCAGTTAAGTTTTAAAATAAATGTCGTTGAAATATTTTATTGTTTTTGTTCAATTCAATTTAAACGATATTTCTATTTTACTAAATTGTCTAAAAATAATACTAAATATTGTATTTTCCTTGTTCAATATTTKTTTTTGTTTTTTTAGTTAACCCGTGGCCACATAGGCCATTGGGTGTAGAGAGGGTACTGTAGGGTTCTTAAATTGGGTAGGGTTTTAGTATACGTGTGTTGTTTTTGGCAGAATTTCTAGTGAGCACTCGTAGGTTTCTGCCATGGCCGTGTGAGGGGGGTGGTGGCTTCTCTTTTCAGACAGCGCGAATTGCCCGGAAAGCAAGTTCAATAAATTTTAAAAGGCTATATAGCAGGAACAAGTTTTACATAAATACGCAAATACGATTTTATGATGTTATTTTCACGTTTGGGTATTATATCAATTTAATTATAGTAGGGATAGCGTAAATTAAAAATTAAATTAAAAAAATATTATGTGTTTCTCAAAATAATATAAATATATATAATAACATCACATTATTTATTTATGCCTTATAGGTACGTAATAGTAATACGTATATTTAGTTTGTATGTGCGTGGACATATCCTAATCGCAAATTTTAGAATATAATATATTTTAATTAAAAACATATTTATTCAAATTATTTTTAGACCCATAAACACAGAATAATAAGCACACTTGAATATCTAACTATTTTTTCCTCAATTTTAGAATAATTGAGTTTTACATATTATAGTTAGTTTTATGGATCCACAGAGAAATTCATTAAATTTGTAGAATTGTATCAAAAAATTAATAATAGTGTACCCATTAAAAGTTATTTCAACTTAATATTATGTTATAATTATTATAATTAAAACGTTATAGTGTTGAAAGAGAAATGGTACCTATATATTACTATATTATTAGTATCACTGTAAATTCACTTGTGTCACAAAAAAAACATTGATAAATAAATCATAACCAAAATTATGAATCACAGTAACTAGTATAATTAACTTAGTATATTAAATGTGTATATATTGTGTATCACAAAAAAAGCTACCTAGTAGTACGTTTAATACATCTTTAGATATTAAACGATTTTATTTAATAAAAAAAAAATTACTTAACTAAAAACTTATTATTTCAGWTTCAGCATTCATAATAATTATAATTAAGAAACTGGGACGAGGTTATAAAATAAGTAACTTAATTTACAGTCTTAACAAGTGGCCGGGTACATAATATAGAGTACACTATACTATTAAAAGTAATCAGTTGACGAGAAACGCACATTGGGCGTGTGAAATGCATTGAATAAAATAAAAAGATAAATTATAAGCTTTCACTTATTATATTAATATTCAAGGATTTATTTTAAACTAACTTAATGTGTTATACATTGTTGGCCACGTCTTAGGATGCAATTAACCACAATTATTATTTAGAGTAATGTACATTGTTATTGCTTTTTAAAACAACAAAAATATTTATTTTACATT